TACAGGAACTCAAACATCTACAGGCACAAACCAACATCTAGCATGATGCTCATGGAAATCCAAAAATCACATGGACTTGCCGAGGTGTTGCCGGCACTTGCTCCCGCGTAACTGCCAAAGTGGGGGCACCAAGGATTTTGGGAATTGCCGCAGAACAATGCCATATTCTCTTCAATGTTTCATGTTTGGTGCAGTTAAAAGTGAGTGGGGGCCTCCGATGTTTAATGTTTAATCTTATTTGGTCGTTCATATTCCCAGTCCGTGTTCTTGGAAGTCGAATAGTTGATCACAACTTGTTTCAAATTCGGTCTTTGAAGATCTGACCTCACGGAGTATGGAAGCACAGACAGGGTCGTCAGCATGTGGGGTTTCCAAGCGTTGCAAAGCCCAAAGCCACAGAGTCATTGAGTGACATACCACAGCACTCAAAAACTTATACATAAAAAAAGCTATAGTAAGCAGGCTGAGGTCAACAATGTCAAATGTGTATCCCACAAATCTGTTTTTGTGTCAGACAATTACATGTACTAACTACAGCTACACGGGAAAAACCGAGGTCGGCAGAGGAATTGAGCTTTGGAACCGAGACACCATGATGGCCTACCGTGAGGATCCTTTCCTGGACCCATCAGGCGACTGCATCTTTCAGAGTGTGTTCCATGTTTGTTAATTTTTATGTGTTCTTTTTATGTTATTGTGTATTTTGATGTGTTTGGTTTTGTTTTTCTAAAAAAGACACTTTTGGACATCTCTTTGGTATTTCTGTCTTTCCTTCTTCCTCTCTTTTCTTTAGGTTTCATGCAAGGCACCTCAGCTATGTTCAACTGAGCTGCAGTCGAACAAAGTAGACGGCTTCAATCTTATCACTTTTTATGTTGAATTTAAATCACACAACATTGATTGCTAGGATCAAACTGTTGCATTCTGTCAGCTTTGTCAGTTTCTCCCAAGATTCAAAGGACAACAGGAAAGCAAGAGTATGATTCTTCACTGGACACCGCATCGCTAGTCACACTATCACAACAAAGCCTTGAACTTACAGCGGCACAGGTAGCAAAGCGAGGCAATGGCTTACAGATGTGCACCTTGGCAAAATTAAGTTAGAGCCAGTCCAACGGTTTGGAGTTTGGAGGCATCCCTATGACATGTGTGCGTCCTGGACTCCCCATTGACGAAGTCCACCTGCCAAGTTTGAATTGAACCAAGTGTCACAACGACGCATTGTGGTGCATTGTAAGTCCCAAGCCAGGACATGCTACCTCCACCCCCTGGACCTTCGTAGAACGCTTGAGGTTGCACAAATGCCTGCCTGATGTAGAACGTGCTGCCAATCTATATCGGTTGAAGTACAGAAACGGGCACGGGATCCCAACATGACTGGCGGAGTTTTGCAGGAAAGGTCTTGGTTTTCGGAGACTACACTTCAGGTCTTGTGAGCGGGGTTGGCAGATGAATACTTGAGCTGAAAGAAAGGTAAGGAAAGCCACAAATGTAGAGGAGACATGGATTTGTAGTGAGCTATTCTAGAATGCGAGTATGATGGGTGTGAGATAAACCACAGCTTAAATTTGCCACAAACAAACTTATTCTGCTGGAACTGTCCTTCTCTTGACTTTAGTTGAAGTTTCAAGTGCACATTCTTTGACGAGAGTAGCTGCGTATCACATGACAGATGCTTTGTACTTTGTAATTACTGTTTTTGCTTTGACCTGATGTGTTCAAATTATCCGCTGGGACCTGTCAGGGAGATAGATAACTCCATTGGACAAATCCTACTGTACCAACAGTGAAACTTCCCATCAAATTGGAGGATGTCCGACCATGTCTGCAAAACTGGATGAATCCTGATTTGGAAAGGGGATCTCTTAGGCTCAAAATTCGGAACTGTACTAGAAAAAAGTATATCAGTATCTCTATATTACGAAAGCCAGCCGATAGGCTAGGCTTGAGCTTTTAGGGCGAACGAAGTGAGTTAAGGGGGTGTGGGGGGGGGAGGACCTTTGAGCTTGGTGGGGGAGAGTGCTCCAAAGCGAGGGTCAGAAAAGCAGTTAACATGGAGTCTGGTGATGCGAGTGATGTAATGGACGCCGAGTAGTGACATCATTCGGCGCGGGCGTGGTATCCCACCATTCGAACCCTGGATACCTTCCTGCACGTGACAAACACATGCCATTGCCTTGTGATGATGACCTGGCGTCTAACAGATACAACGTATCGCACTTCTCTTTCACTAGTTCTTTCACATCAAACTTATCCCAAAGCCGCCCGGCTTGCTTCTCCTCTGCTCCCTCCATCACCATTACGTATCCCCCCCCCCGACCATGTGTCTTGTGCCGCGACGCCCGCCAGAAAGAGAGACAGTCGTCTGGCGGCTGCTGGCTTTCGTCCCCCCCTCCTCAGGTATCAATTACAGTATATACAATTACTTCATACTCTGTAGGCATTTCTTGATCGATCCAATCGGACGCCCTTTCACCTTCACCCAGTCGGACTCCTCAGGAAGCCAGCGCACTCCAGACAAGGATCCAAGCAGAGGCTACAGCCATTGAATTGGTGAAGCCATGTGAGTCCTTTGCCAGCGTCCTTGTTGCCAGTAGCTTCTTGTTGCTAGTAGCAAGGCCACGAGCTACTAGTGGCGTCCTTGCTCCTAGTAGCGACGCCCTTCGCTACTAGTAGTTTCTTGCTCCTATATTCTCAGAGCCACCGGCGCGAATCAGATCTTCACGGCCAAGCCACCACAGAGAGAGTACGGCGTCATGCGCCCAGAGCGCCAATGTTTATGGCGCGTTCTGTGGAAATTTAGAGTAGAGTCCCTGATGCAGGTCACCATGTGATGCTCGGAACGCGTGTTGAGGGGGCATGGTTGGAAAATGTTGGAAAATAGAGTCAAGGACTTGTAGCTAACCTGCTTTTGGCAAGATTGTCGGGAGCAGGGGAGACAAAACAACACAAAAATCCGTCCCTTGAAATGGATTAGCGGTCAGTGTGAATGTAGGTTTTGAAACCTTTGTGAACGCTTTCACGACATTGTGGTGATCTTACCTGGGTAGCCTGTACAGGATACAGCCACATTTTGAAATGTCTTGAATAAGACTTTACTGATGGCAGACGTTGACGGACTTGGTCACGTTCAGTCCTGAAAGTTGGTCGGTAGAAAGTGGTGCAAGACATGATCGAAGCTTATGACCAACAGGACAGTTTCCAGATATGCTTGCCACCAGCTAATTCATTTATATTATAGTGCACCAACCTTTACTGCATTCATGTTTTCGAAAGCTCATGTGCTTACTGCAAGAGTAGGACAAAACGTTTTTTCTTGAAGCATGGATCGTCAGCCAAGTCCTTTTTTGCGTCATGGGGGCGTAGATAATGACAACAGCCGCCAAGCGGCTTAGCCGCTGGTGTGAACACTTTCATCGTTTGATTCCGCGGAAAGTGCCTCTAGTTGTTCAGTTCAATATGGTAGAGAGGTAGCAACAGACGTTCGGTCATGTTTTGTTTTTGTCAATATCATTCCTTACACTGAAGATCGAAGACACAAAAATAGCGCAGACTCCCGCAGACGGTATGTATAGTATACTGTATATACTGTTCTTGAGGAGGCACGAAACAGTCAAGAACGGAGCGCGCTCCAATTGCAGCGGTCTAGCCGTAGCCAGTTGCACGACTTGAGCCTAACGGTTGCTATGAGACCTCTTGCTGTTAGTATTGTAGTGATGGATGCCAGATGGGAGCTTGCAATTGAGACTGCTGCATTGGAACATGCATTAATAGGACAATTTGTGCAGCTTTAGTTTGCGGATGACCAGTTTCGTACTAGTCAAATAGATCCTGGTCGTGCCACAAAGTGATCCACTCAGTCCCTTGACATTTCGACTGATTCGCCAGAATGTTGCATGCCTGAAAGGGTGCTTCGAAGTCATTCGCATTGCGTAGAACGTTGCAGTAGTCGTTGGTGGCTTTGGGGTTGATCCAAAGCTCGTTTGACAGCCTTGTCAACGGAAAGTGTGCCAATGAAGCTTGATCAACCAAATGCAAGAAGTGAAAATCAGGACGAGACAAAAACAGCTGAACATCACACTGAATCGAGTGAACCCCAGTTGATACAATGTCAATACATCTAAAATGCATTTAGCCTGAGGCGGGCAGCAAAAGGGTTTTCGATCAACCGCTTAAAGCTTCTAACTGTTTTGGTGCAAGTCCTCAGGGGCTTTGCTGCCTTAAGCGGCCACTTCTGTGGGCCTGCAAAAGAAGCGATCAGCTCTGCCAGAACAGCTTGTTGACAGACATGGAAGGACAGTTGTGAGTTTGGGATCAAAGATCCCACAGGCCCCACATGTAATTTGTTTGTGGGGAGATTCACTCATCCGTCCACATACCAGTGAGACTTCCTTGTGTCGTGTCACTTGAAGCCTTTGTCAACTCACCAAACTCCCACAGACCTGTCCAATCATCCAATCCCATGTCACATGAGTGTGGGTCAACAAGACCGCAGAGGAATCCCTGAAATGAAACAGAAACATTGTAGAATAAACACAAGTTTCCAGTAAATTCAGCACCAGAAGCAACTGGCACTGGCCCAGAAGAACTCATCGTGGCAAGCAAATCTTGAAGAAACACACAGCACACCCACCTCAAAAAATAGAACGCGCCACAGACGGAGAGGCCCCCCAACTTTACCCTATAAACCGGTGTTTTGTTTTACGAGACATGGACTTAGGTTTTGAGAAGCTACTAGGGGCTCCTGGCATCTCTACTAGGAGCAAGGACGCTACTAGGGGCTCCACCCTTACTACTAGGAGCAAGAAGCTACTAGTAACAGGAAAGCTACTAGGTCATCGCTATTACGTTGGAGGCCATCGCTTCTAGGAACAAGAAGCTACTAGGGGGCTCCTGGCCTTACTACTAGGAGCGAGGACGCTACTAGGAGCTCCTGGCATCGCTACTAGGAGCATTCGCTTTTAGGTTGGAGGCCGTCGGTCATGGATTTCTCATGCCAGGCCTTCACCGGTGGCACGTGACCTGGTTCGCCGCTTGCTGACGCCCAAGAGGCGTCCAGTCGACCGAAGCACGAAAAGTAGGTTTGGCGCGAAAAGCTGGCTTGGACCGAAGGAAGTGTTGGGAACATCTTGGAACACTCATGAATGAAATCTGAGTGAATCTGCATAGGCTCAGCACCATTGATGATTTTGCCACACATGCAACAGCTCATCTGTTTCTTCTGGGTGCTAAAGAGTGCTAAAGGAAGCTTCCCCTTTATTCTTGTGATGTACTGTACATGTCAGTGATGTCTCTTCAGGGTGGCAAGATGCGGGCCTAGACACATTGCAAAGCATTGAATTGAAACAGGATTTATATATGCACATGTACTGTGGATTTTCCAAGTGGCTCATGATCACACCCTGTGTGGTCATAGACAATCATGTCATCCCTATTTTGATCTATTTTACGACAGAACCGTGACCGCCGTGACGCATTCTTGGATCTCACGACACAGTTTCTCGTTGGTCAGAGCTTCTTGAATTGAAAGGTTGCTGGAGGAGGAACCCTTTGTAGACACGGGTTGATTCACGACCTGTGAATGTCTTCCGATGGCAAGATATGGAGACCTAAGAATCAAAGAAGGAAGAGGTGCATGGACGTGCATCGACAGGCAGGTGCGTTGTAATGCCAAAGAAGCCTTGCAGCCGCAACCTCAGCGCTCCGAAACAAATTGGATGTAGGGGTAGGTCGCAGGATGTCGCAGGTGTAAGTCAATGGAAGCAGATGATTCGCTCATCACATAGTTCTCAGGCTTTCTTCCGCCCAAGGCATCGATGGATCACTTCTCCTCCCAGCGAAACGCGGGCCGATGAGGCGATCGTCGGTGGGGCTTTGTGCCATGAGTCCTTCCAATAGACATGGAAGTGGAATCCCCCCTAGTCTTCCAAGGGGCCAGACATCCTTTTCCAATGATGGTTGGAGGGAAGCTACTTTCTTCCCAACCTTTTGGAGAACCATCAAGTGCAAGTTGCTGGAGACGTCCCCCCTAGCTTGAAAGGCCTTGTCTTTTGTGCACGAGGGAGAGACCAGGAATTAGGCTTGGACTCCATGCCCCATGAAAAGACACCAGCTGTTGCCCAAAGGCAGCAACTTTTGAACATGAGAGGAGGTGCCATCGCTGAAAATCACTCCACCGCGCGACGAATCTGAAAGGCGCAAGCGCAAGATGCGCCTTTGCTCCAGTGGTCGGATTTTGAGGTCGGCGCTTTTCTTTTCGCGCTGTGAGAGTACAGGTGACACATGACCCTGTTGATCCGGAATCGGTTTCAACGTCCTGACGATGCACCGTTTTATTCGCCTGGGATTGAACCTCCGTGCACAGCGAAGAGCAGCTGCAGAGTGCCATCTTGCAAAGCTTTGTTGAGCTTTCAAACACATAGGTGCTACTTTGAGATACCTTTCGCGTGTTCTTTCTTGTTCTCGTGTGAACAAGGGGATTGGAGTTTCATAGCAAATGTCAAGCATTTGGTATCACGATTGAAAGCACTAGCGAGAACTTGCGAGAACCTACATTTGTCACCAAAATCCACAACATCCACAAAGGTTACTGTATCAAAGGTAAATGTTAGCCTCTATAGTCCCCAACGTTGCAAAATTGTAAACCTGAGCAGACTTGTTGGCTTTGTGCTGACTGCAAGAAAGAAGAAGGGCTCAGCAGCAAACTTCAGCAAGCATCGTTTGCAGAATGTACCCGAGTTTACCAATCAGTTGAGGATGAAACGCAGGGATCGCTGGGACCACGATTCATTTCTTCAGGCTAGTGCCTTGCAACAACTGCCACACCTGTCGATTCGCTTTCAAATCAGTTTGGATCTTTATGCCTCAGCAGAGCCTCCCAACCTGTCTCTCCCACAGCCCGTTTCGGTCGATCAGCATCACTTTCAGTGCTGACTATGGATACTTTAAGTGTCGTGATAGTGTAGTGTGTGAAGCAGATACAATACAAAGAAAAAACAAATTGTGAGAGTAGATGTTTTGCGTCTTTGGATTGATTTGGAATAGATACATTACATGTAACACCAATAGGGTAATTATTTGCTCTTTGTTAGCACGAGGCGGGCTGGATCACGTTTCTTGACAGGAAGGCTTGACTGGAATTCAGCGAGAATTCCAGCGAGCTGCAGAGGAGCCGATGACAGTTGAGAGGGCTCAGAGAGCTGACAAAGTCCAGGATTCACCTTGGAAGATGGATAGTGGAATCATTTTTGATATGGAACAGGACTCGAAGTTTTTCCAAGTGGTGCAAGGATTTGTCCATCAACCGTTCCTGCATGCCAGGAAGTTGTCCAGGCTGTCGAGAACATTCAGGTCTGGTGACAGGTCGTTTGGTCCAATCGGAAGTGAGAGTGATGTTTGCAGATGTCTACAGTATGCCGATCTATGAATCGCAACACTTTTACAATGTTGATTTCTTTTAAAAGGGATAGGAGAGGTTTCCCATTGATCTTTTGGTCTCATTCGCCTCCGCAGATTGGCAGCGACTTGGAGCAGCAAATTCTCCTTGATCCAAAAGACGACAGGCAGCATGAAGAGTTTATTCTCGCCGGTACAACTATACCCATTATACGGTTGCAACCTCCCCTATACAGTATAAAGGCAGTGTTACTGGGAAGGATGTTGTCATCAATGATGCACAACGAAAACTGATGAGAAGGAAGAAAGACAAACGAAGAAACACCAAGAAAGAAATGAAAGAGCCGATATCAGATAATTTCAGATGGTGGAACAAACGATTTCAGCTAATTTCATTATTCTTTTTGCAGTACTCTAAAGCCCTTGCCTGAAAGCATATCCGTAGATGTGCTGAGTGAGCCCTTAGCGTTGGGTGTGTAGCTGTGAGGCTCAAGAACTGCGTCGTTTGCCGGGCTCTCAATGGGTGGAGGACAATGACAAGGCTGCTTGAGATCTCCGGAAGTTCCGAAAAATAGGTCCCTGCTTGAAAGGGGTCACCTTAAGAGTTTGACGGAACGAGCTGCCTTGTATGATAGGATACAGGTGGCTGATTTGATACACTGGCGGCAGCTATCTAGAGCTATCCAAACTTTCATTATCCAACATTTCGTGAACACTTGCAGCATGTTGCTCTTTATCAAAGCCAGATTCCTTCTTGAGTGAGTTGGGATGACTTCTTGCACTCCTGCAGTTCCCCGCGCGCAGCAAGAGGCACCGGTGCCAACGAAGACTACCTAGGTTACTGTACATGGTCTGGTAGAGCATGTCCATGACATGATTTTCAGCACGTAGTTGCATTATGTCGTGTACTTACAAAAATCATCAAACATCAAGGAGGAGTTTGGTTGTTTTGGTGATATATTGTTTTTAAGAAGTAGACAAGCGTGTTTTGCCATTTCTTTGCTTCACACGTCAAAAGCTGCTTTTGATGATAAACATATAAAGGTTTAGGGTTTAGGGAAGGAATGTATGACCTTGTCATATAATATGGGCATTTGCAGTGTGGTTCAGCGTTGGTATAATGTGCCACCCTAGCAGGTAACAATTTGTCGTACTGGAGCTCTCCTCAAGCTCACTGAGGCTTTCAAGAGTCTGGCCACTTTGGCTTTTTCTGTGTTGCCCTCAGAAACTGATGATTGGAGGGGCTCCGCACCCACTGCCCTTTTTTCCCCAAACAGTTTACTGTTGGGGTTCTATCTTAGAAAAAAAGAGCTGGCCGCGCTCACTGGCCGCGCCCCTGAACTCTGTGGCTGGGCTCTGTGTCCAGGCCTTGTCCTCCTCTTGTCCTCTGTGGCTGGGCTCTGTGGCTGGGCCTTGTCCTCTTCTTGTCCTCCTCTTGTCCTTGTCTTGGCCGCGCCCCTGAACTCTGTGGCTGGTCTCTGTGGCCCGGTTTGCTGGAGAGGAGTGTCGCCGAACAAATAGCGATGTCAATGCCGACAAAAACTCATTGATGGAGCAGTTTGCTCTTGGGATGAAGGTAGGGCGCACCAAGAAATCGATTTTTGACTAATATTGGTCTAAACGAATCGTTTTGAAGCTGCTTGGGGTCTATTTACCAATAGCAACTTCAATAGTAATAACTGGGAAACTTTCGCAGAAGTAGATGAACTTGGTGCAGAGGCAGAGACTTTGGACACTGCTCAGTATGAACCCACTCTGCCTTCAGGCAAGCAGTGCTATCACAGCGTTTGCATCCAATGCTTGGTGAAGCTGCCAAAGCCAGAGAACTCAATTTTGCGACTCCAATGATAATCCGATCACCCTATATATATACATGATTCCATGATCATGAAACAGGATGCTTTGACAACTTTCTCGCATGCTTCTGGAACTTGTGGAGAGCAAGGTATTGCAATGTGCATACAACATGCAAGTTTTTTGTTACCTATCGTCGCGTCCTATCTATGATATAACCTGTTTGCGGCAAATCCTTAAGTGGCATGGGTGGGAGTGAAGCTATTGCGGCAACGCGGGAGGTATCTCGCACACTGTATCGAGGCCTGAATGCCCTCACTGCCGGAAGCCAGCATCTGACGTAGCTGCAGCACAGCACCTGGCAAAGATCGCGGAAGCCTTCGATGCACAGGCACTTTTTGCGGGAACTTGGAACGTTGTTGTCGGGGTTGCTTTCGTTTCTTGACCGTCCGAGTTCAAATCGAAACAGTTTGGCCTTGGACACAACACCTCTACCAGTACCATGAAGTCACCCTTTATCAGAAGTTTGGTCCCCTTCATTTTTGGTTGTTCAATGTTACTTTTCCAAGCATTTGTTCATTTGTTCTGAAGCCAATCATGCCCCCCCTACTTGGAGGGTAGTCCAGTTTCATTCTAGTGTATTGCACTGAAACTTACAACTTGGCTTGCCCATCCGTGACTTCCTCGTCCACACGTGGCGTTTTCGGCACAGAAGGCCTGGTGTCCGGTGTGCGTGCGTAGCAGTCAGCTATGGTGGCCGTCTCAAAGACCTCGTCCATCCGTGCTCACTGCAAGCCGGGCAACCCCGAATGCTTCCAAGAGGTGTTCGAGGCGCCTGATGCAGTGGGGCCTGGTGTACGCAGCTAGGGTTTTTATCAACTATCAACTGTAACTAAATAATGCATCAGTCATACTCTATATTATATATGTAGGTTCAAGCAACTTGCAGCTGATTTGCCAACTCCACATTGGCTTGTTCAACTAGAGGATCTCACACATTGAGTCATGTTTCTTGAGTCAAGCAGAAAGACACAGTGATGCGTATGTACACATACCTTGAGCATCAGTGCGGCACAGGAGTTCAAAAAGAGCGTTCAGCAAGCTCCAGAAGAGCCCCTCGCTCCTTATGAGGATCTTGAAATCCAATTTGTTTGTAGAAACGCCATGTTTGTGACGTGGAAGAAGTTGGTTCATCGGACTGAACGCTCTACGCGTCTCCACGTAAACATGTACTTGCGGGCAATGAGCCCACTGCATGACATCCCTCCACATAATTTCATTCGCCTGTTGCCCGTTGCTCCAGTGGACCCACGTGTTTTTTGATGATACACAGATCACATGTTCAAGCCTCATGGTTTTCCTGCAGCCAGAAGAAGCATAGCATATGTTTTACACAAGACGCCACAAAACAAGTATGCAGTCTACCAGGAACAAGAAGCTACTAGGAGCAAAGGGCATCGCTACTAGGAGCAAGGACGCTACCAGGGGCTCCTGGCATTACTACTAGGAACAAGAAGCTATTAGGAACAAGTGCATCGCTTCTAGTAACAAGTGCCTTACTAGTAGTAACAAGAAGCTACTAGGAACAAGAAGCTACCAATGCCCCGACATATCACGACGTTTCATCACGTGTCCATTAGGTTCGAGGAATTGGTGGAGCGACGTCGGAGGGCCTTCATACTCCGCTTAGAGGCAGACCTTATGAGGCAGCCTCAGGGATCTGCATTTAACTTGAGGGTTCCTCAACATGAGGGATTTGTCTACTGAATTGCATTTCTACTTAGTAGAGAGGAATTGGATGGAATTGGTATTTGTTTGCATGCGTTTTGCACGTGGTCGTTCTCTATTGTTTGAATTTCTATCTATATATATATATATATATGCATGTTCCGATGTGAATCTGAGCTTTTCTCGTGACGCCACCCGTGTGAGGATTCAGCAGAGAAAGATGCTCCAAGAGAAGCTTCAAACTTTGCAAGTGGCTTCGACAGGTATCCGCACAGCATCGCTTGCACCAAACCAGGCGGAGGAAACTGCAGGAGCTAGGACATGCACCATCATCAAATGTGCCTTGGTGGCCGCAGGAACCGAACGTACTTGATGTCACACCCACATCGCCAAGCCTTTTCGCCTGACCCTGAAGTGCCCTGAATTAAGGCAAAGAGGAGGTGGTGAGCTTGTGAGAAATGACCTGAGAGGAGCTCTAATCAGATACATGCCACAAGCTGTTGTCGAGTACCTTTGCACCGTTACTACGCTGCTACTCATTGATAGATTGCGACATACTCATCACGACTCTCCTGGTTTTGGGTGTCGTGAGGCTGCGACAAGTAACCTGCAAAGCTCCGACAACACATTAGATAGGCCTTTGCAAGCCCAGTAGCTGGGTTCAACTCGTTGCTGGCGTTAGGAGAGATGCCGTACTGTGGCGGAGCTTCCTCGTTGCAGAATGGCTGGCAGCTGTTTCAGTTTGGGCACAGGCTAAGCTTCAGTGCTCATCGGAAGAGAATCATTGCTTGCGACTGCTTGTACCGGTCAAGGTTGTGCAGCAATAGCTGTTGCACAGAGCTCTGAACAGCCACAGATTCCTTCTGTCAAGGCTTGAGGTCTTCAATGGAGTTGCTTAAGCGCGGTGTTTAAAGCGCAACTCCTTCCAATCAGAGGCGCTGCCCGGTATACTTATCGTGCTCGAAACACTGCAACATTGTATGACTGTATTGGCCTTTCCACCGTATCAAGCCTGCAATCTTGACTAGTTGTCATTGAAATCACACGAAATCACCACGAGTTGCACTGGAACCCCGGCATTTCTGAAGCTGGGTACGCAGTGTTGGATATAATTTGGCCTGGCCTCAAACGATCCAACATAAGTCATGGTAATGCCATGCTGAATGACAGCCATTTGAGGATGGCTCACGTGAAGCTTCAACACTCCCCCACCCCGGACTCCACCCCACCAGACACAGGAGTTAATGCAAGCTGCAAGCATCCATCTCCAACACCCCAGCCAGTTGTAACTTTACCGAACTGCCGCTTTACAGAACTGCTGCCTGTGCTCTCTTTTTTTTGGAAGGGCCGTCTTGGCCAGAGTTGCAAGTTGGGTTTGATATATATATATATATATTTATATTTGTTGGGGGTCCGCGGGGGGTGAAACGACCTCAAACAGGATTGGAGAACTGCTTGGGCCTTTTCGGAAAGTCGCTCTGTTGCTGATTTTTTAGGCATGAAAAGGACGTGTTTGCACTCAATCCACCGGATCCACACTACTCATGTGAGATTCGACAGGGCAGAAACCCACACATTTTGCAACGTGAAGCCTGTGTACATCGATTCGATGGACACGGCCTGAAAAACGAGAAATCGATTCGATGATCTCAAGTTGGAACACCCATCTTCCCCATAGCAGAAACAAACTTCCAGGTCCCCACTGTGTAGCAAGCAGGTTACTCCATTCAGGCTTTCCTGCTTGGCTCCATCAGCCGAAGTATACAAATGGTGATCACCTTCGACGTTTGTCCATTGCTATTGGGATTGTACCCTCTTAGCAACCCTCCAAGAACTTGGAGATATTGGCAGCTAACTTGCATGTGCGCAACACCTCTCACATTGATGCCGGACCCAACGCCATGACACGTTCAATGAAGCGACAATTCCACAGCCATCAATGGGCTTTTGAACCCAAGTCATGTGCTCACAGGGGTTTGAGGATTGTAGAGGATTGCAGTCTGGTTCTGAAATATTGAGGAAAAGCTGTTTTGTTTGGAGCGAGGATATTCTTTGTGGTATGTGCTTCAGAGAAGTTGCTCTTGGATTCTTGATCCAATTACTTGCAGACATTCAATAGTCTATTTGGGCGACTTGGTGCTCGGAGAACATATTATTGATAAACATGTTCATGTTGCTTGGCATTGGACGAGCATCGAGTCAATAAAGACCTTGTTTTACGAGGCTGTGGACCGCGCGGAATAGAATGGTCGAACAGACGGCCATTGAATCGGAAGGTCAGTGAGGGATTTTCTTGAACCCGACCTAAACCGATCTCTTTACACGAAAAGAATTCAAGACGTTTCAATTCTCTCAGATGGTTGAACTGGATACCTTAGTGTTGATTGGAATGGAGTCTTGCTTAGCTTTGACCAGTGCAGATTATCAAATTGGTGTATGTCCAGACGAAAGAATCGATGCGAAGTCAAGTTGCAAGCAATATTTGCATGCCAAACAGCATCTTTCATGGCTTTGTGGGTGCTGAGGTTTCCCTCACTTGACTGCGGACTGGAGGGCGGCAGCAACTTCACTTCTCTTGCAAAGCTCGGCAGTAGCTGCTCTTGGCAATGCCAAACGGCTGCTTCCAGCCTCAGCAGTTGAGAAGTGGATTGCTGTTCGAGGTCTTGATCGACTGCTGCCCCAAACAAGAGCCCCACCCGCCTTGAAGGTTTCTTAATTGGGGGTGTTGAAAAGGTCTGACAAATTGTTGTTTGGGCGGTCCCCCAATTCTAAATCTCTTCATTAGCAGGGATCCCAAAGACTAAATATCTTTATGAGGAGGGGTTGAAGAAAGGGAAGACAGGCCGTTTGTATTGCAACAAATTGGCCCCAGGAAAGGCCCGCCAAACTATTTGGGGAGAGGCGGTAAGTATTGCCAGAACGAGGCGGACCAAACTAATACGCTGAATGTTTGTTGAGTGTAGTATCATACATTACATCCATAAATATGTTGGTTACATGTTATGCTTTGCTTGGAATCCTCCGCTTGCGCATTCTTTCCTGAAATAGCTTCCATGCACATTTTACCAGGTTGATGCCTCTCGTCACTCGTCACCTTGCGTCCTACTTTGGCCTGCAATATCCGGATCGTGTGCATGAGAGCTTCGAGTCGAGAGAGACCTCGGCATTTTAGACCGTGCAGAAACAACTGGCCAACAGCCAGTTGGGTGCACGGAAAAGTGGATTCTGACATGAGCTTCTTAATCCGGACTTGGGTGAGAGATGAACCAAAGCCGACCATCGTGTTGTCAATGGACTCCCTTACCCGACCTGCAAGGAGGACGTTCCCAATCCATATTTATATATATATAAATATTTGATTGAGAATGAATTTGCTTCTTTGGGAAGATGTTCCCGCAATGTGGTCTAGTGCACGACAAACTTAGGACAGAGTATCAATGGTTTTGCCTTATTGGGATTCAGACGAGACCATTGACCATAGTATTTGAGGTATACTTACCAGTTGACCTTAAGCGTGTTGCTTCAGGGTGATAGGTTGATGAAATTTCAACAAAAACCAGACGTGATGCAGTTACGGGGATTCACTCACTCGACGGCGCCTGGAGTTGAGTTGGCAAGGACTCCGTTTCTCTTGCAAGACTGGGTAGGAGCTGCTCTTGGCAATGCCAAACGGCTGCTTCCAGCGTTTGAGATGTGGATGAGCTTGCTTTCAAGGTCTTGATCGATGGATGCCAGAAGGCACATTTGCTTTTGGGGGTCTTGAAGGGTTTGGGAGTGAGTTGCGGCTAGTGTGACAAACGCAGCCTGAGTTTAATGTGCATCATGTTTTACCACCAAGCAGACCAGTTGCTTAGCAAGTTTCTTGGCTTTGTGCCTGCAACCTGCCTAATCGTCCAAATGTGAGAATCCCGAACCTGCACATATTAAACAACAAGTAACAACAACTATTGCGAGGCAGGCCCGCCAAATGATGAGTTGATGATTAGTAGTTGTTGCTTTGTTGATGTGTTTTTCTATGTTTTTGCTTGCTTGATAGCCCTGTACCTTTAAAGGAGGTTCCTCGAAAGATACTGTACCCCTTCATGAAGTATGAGCTCCCAAGGTCTCCTGGTAAAGTACCATGGAGTTATGCGATGCATCGTGCAGCAACACACTAGTCTAGTGATCAAAGGTTCCTGTGCATGCTCGCAGTGAATTTTATGTTTGCTTGCCGGCTTGCCGTAGGTGAAACACCAGATATGAGTATGAGGCATTTGCCGGCAAGACAAGTTATGCACCAGGGTGTGGAGATGGCTGGACCAGGTAATTCTGGCGCCCTCGACGGACCAGCTTGTTGTGCGCTGACCCATTTTGCAGGTTTCGAATTGAGCGTGTCGATTTAGTTTTTGTGGCCAGGCCGACTCTAGGGTTTTACTGCCGGAGTTGTGCATGGCTTCCCTTGCCTGCCGCAGTGGCAATGGCCAAACTGATTTCTAATTGGAACAATCCCCATTGACTTAGGAACAACACCGTCATTTTGTTCTCAAGAGTAGAGTGTATATATATATATATATGAATGATGAATACATTTACATGTGCTGTTGCATGAATCCTTTACGGAAGTGCGGCACGGTACAAGATTTTCACAAAGGTGTCGGTGTGGGGATCATTCTAAGGCAAAAAGGACACCCAAAACAAACCTGACGACAAGTCGGATATATAACCCCTGGGTTGGAGGAAGCCCGTGTTGTTTCAAGTTTTGTTTTGACCAACCTCCAAAACCAGAGACGACAAATTCAGTCAGGATTGGACCTGGCCTAGAAAGTATGTTGTTCAAACCTTGAAAACGAAGTAGGCCGCTAGGCCCTCCTGAAACCTGAAAAACGCAGTCCTGCTCAGTGTAAGAAGCATCAAGATGCTCGTTTGGATGGACTCTCAATATGTCAAGCTCAGACATTTGATCACATCCATTCATGCCACACACCGAATCTGGATGAATCTTGCGGACTGATTGCTTACGAAACGTGCATGGAAAACGTGCTCCCAGCTTCTATCCGTGCTCCCAGCTTGTCGGGCAAAAGCTGCTCATTGTCCGTTGTCCGGGATGGTGGGAGAGCGAGAGAAGGGAGCCGAGGTGCAGGGAGAGCGAGTCTTAGCTGGGTCGAGGACCCTTGGTTAAACACGGAGTTGTGATGGACCACACAATCACATGTCAGTTGAATTCACCGGATCCTACCATCTACCTACCTTGATACTCAAATGGCGGGTTGCAACCAATGAGCATCTATCTTGTTTTCAGCCCGGCCAGATGGGTGATTTAAACAGGAAGACCTCCCAGTTCAACCCCCTGGAAGAAAGAAAAGAGACCAGTCTACCCAGCCAGGGCGATTGGGGGTCTAGATGTAATACAATCTTAGATGTTTTGCTGCGATTCTGTTGAGTCTCTATACATACTACTAGAGTCCATTCAATGAGTTTAGCAAGATTAGAACACACATGTTGGCTCCCACAGATATTCTGTGCACATCCCTGCTCGTGACTTGTTTTTTTTGTGGTCATATTTGGTGATGTGCTGCTGGGGAACCTTCCAAAAAGGATCTCAAGGTGCTTACTCCTTTCTAGTTGGATCCAATCATATTGTGATCATGTACTGTGTACTCATGTTCTGTCACATCATCAATGGTTCCAGGCTGCTCTTCAGGCAGGAAGTGTTGCGTGGAAAGCTGCGCTGGAGGCCAGAACCAAATCGGACTTCGTCTTTCGCTGTGTCCGGTGTTGTGATCCTGCAAAACATTGCGAAACCACTGAAGGTGTGAGTGCAATGTTCATACATGGTGCTGGACCCCGCAACCTTGTCAATGTTTTGTGGTGAAACCTTCCTTCAACCTTCTGGTGCTCATCTGGGAACCCTGTGCACCGTACTCTGTTTCATGGGTGCGGGATTCTGTGAGTCAAAACACCAGGGGGAACCGTGGACTCCGCCATGTTGACGCAGGTGGGCAGCAATGTTGCTGAGAACTTGGGCAAGGCACCTGCCGAGTGGATGATCAGGTATTTTATATTTACAACTGTTTGTATGATACAGATACTATAAATGTTGTGTAGTTTACCATAGTTGATTTTGGATATACTGTATTGTCAATATAATGTGTTTTTCTTGACTATATAATTGCAAAGTTTTAAAGGTTTGGCATTGAAGCTTACAATCTTGCAATGACTGGCATGGTGCCACTGGAACATGGGTGTTTCAGCCACAGGTTGGGGCCGATGCGGTGGTCGATATAGATTTGGGCCACATCAGGTGCAGAAGAGTCTACGAATTTCACTGCAGGTCATGATTCTCGCGGTACATGTTGGATTCAGAGTTCAGGTTTGATCCAGCACAGCTTCAATCCGCATCATCCCAGGATATTGAGAGAACTCAGGACATGTTACCACATGTTGTCACGTTTCATGCTGGACTGCTTAGAAGCGCACAGCTTGGGCAAGCTTCCATTGCTGTACACCAAATGGACCAAATGTCCAAGTGCTCCAAATGACCATCTCTGCAGGCCTGTCACAGAGGAGCAGCGCAAGCGCAGCAGTGTTCGGGAGCTAAAATGACCTATAGTTGACGAAGGTGTCACGAGACTAATGGTTGAAGGGCGTTAAATGCGCAACACAGATTACTGTATACAATTTAAACCTATTGAATGAACAGTCGCACTTTGTTGATATTGATATTGCAGCGCGTGTTAAATCATGCGCTTGAGGGTGGTTCTCTAAATTAATTGTGAGTTGTATGTAATCAAGCCAAGTATATAATTGTTCAATAGCTCGGGACGCTTGCAAGCATAGCAATATAGCCCTGAACTTGCAAGCAAAGTGCGATGATAGCTTGATAAGCATGAGGGTTGTATGCTTAGATTGGAGATTCCTGGGTTGCAGAGGCCTGCTGCGTGTGTGACACTCCAGCTGGAGTTCGCAGCTGAGCGAATTGGTTTGTGATGAGACAGGTGAAAGAGCTTGGTCGCTTGGACATGCGACAGACGATGACATTGATGGGGGAAAGGTCTTGAACAATACATGCCCACAGGCCCATGGGCGAAGTAGACTCAACTACTTTCCACAACTCCACTGCCGGGACCTAGACTTTTGAGCAGTGTACCAGCTACAGTCGTTGAGCAGTGTGAGAGGCTACAAACCACGTTTGCCCCGAGTGCTTTGCCGGACCCTGAAATTTGACATTGGTAGGCTGTGTGAGGAAGGAGGGAGAGAGAGACAGAGAGACAGAGAGAGAGGCAGAGGGACAAAGACGGAGGGAGCTAGCCAGAGAGCAGAGATGGCCATGACTGGATGTCCTGTCCTTCTTCTTGATGAATCACACCACACTGATAGCCACCTGCCAGAAAGTACCACCGCCGGCTCACCAGATGGTCGGGTCGTGACAAACACCGAGGCTAGCGTGTGCTTCCCATGTGCCAAGAAACTGAAGGAGCGCCAATGTCCTTCCTGCGGTGATGTCCGACAGCCTGGCGATGTCCGATTCGCTGCACCTGGGGAGATCAGCATGATCATTGGATATATGTGAGTATTTGAATTCTATGATATTAGTATTTGTGAGTACATGGCTGCTGTTCACCTCAGAAGAGGTGGGCTTGTTGTTTGACCAGAAATCAGAAACCCTGCTTGGTTTGAGCTCTCAAGGTTGATCACAATGCAGAGCCATTGAAGCACTACCTAGCAGCTGCTGAGGTGGCCCCGCTGATGTTTGCATGGAGACCGAAGAAACTTGTTTTGTTGTTGAAACTGCTTTGCAATTCAATTACATGATATTGCAACAGCATTTATGCATGGTCTGAGAATCAGAGATGTTTGTTCCAACAAGCTTGGAACAAACAACTTCAGTACGTCAGTCGCTTTGAACCTAACTGCTAGTAACGGGTGCTTCGTCCAGATGGCATGGCTCTGAAAGGGGGACCTTGCCATCGACTGCGATTTCAGCCACAGGCACTTGGTTTGCTTCGCACTGTATTTGGTGTGCATTTGGTGCCGCCAGGCATGGGATGCTGCCATGGGTCTAGCCACACGCGCAGGGGAGGTGCTTCTTGCTTTCAACTTTCGGAGTAGCATTAGAGTGCGAGTTCACTTGTCCTATCTCCTTGTCTAGACAAATTGGTAAAGAAATCCAGCTGTACGACAAGCTTCGGAGGGCTATTTTTGCAGTATATTTCTTTACCAGAACCTTTATATCACATAATCAGTCAGTCGCTTCGTTATACAAACACCTTGGCTTATGTATTGGCTATATATTTATATTCACTTGCAGCTGTTTAAGCTATTTAAGCTCTTGCTGCCCGTCATTCTACCACATCGCTGCTTGGTTTCAAAGGGCGGGTTCGGAAGACTCATCAGACGCTGCAACATACTGCTGAAAAGCTTTAGCAGCAATTGTGTTTGTGTTGGCTGCTAAATATTGCAGTCTTGAATATGACGAGGCTTTAGAATCCTAGACAGCTTTGAGTTGTGAGGCCACTAAACAGTACGTTGCATGTGCTGTTGCTTTTCTTACAAAGTGGAAACACACTGTATACTGATATACTGTATTCTTATTCGATCTTATGATAGATTCTTATGTATTGCTTCTGATATGGTTGGAAACAACATTCACCTTGAGGGCCATAGATTTATGGTTCTTGCTTCACAAGGTCACTTTCATTCCAGACTGCTTTCGATTTTGGGATAACGGTTTCTTTTAAGATTTTAACATGCGAATGTATATGGGACATCACCAACCGTTGGCAGACGTTTAGCACCATGATTGCGGGCTACTGGTTCCCTGTGATCCACTCATCACAGGGTAGGTTCCCCGCGCTTTGCCGCCTAGGCCTGGCCATGTCGACTCCAGCAGCATGGCAGATTGACATGTTCATACTTTCATGTCAGTACTGAAAACGACAACGAACATGGAGGCATTCACATTGAGCAAGCGCCAAAGCATGCGATGACTCATTTAGGAAAGAGCGGTCATGAATTTCAGGCATTTGGCTAAAGCCTACAAAAGCGATAGGACCCCCTCTCAAGCGACAACCTTCCCCCCCCCCCCCGCAGCTTTTTGATATGTTCAGCTATGCTGACATTGTGGCTTAGACCGTAGACCTGCAAAGGTGAAGCGATAACCTTTCTGAATCACGTCCTCTACTTGACAGTACGTTTTAGCAGATGCTCACATGATTGGATGTTCAAAAGATCAAGAGCAGAGTCCTCATTCTCAAGCACATTTCTATACATGGTGTTTCCTCGAGCGGACTCACCGGGTTGCCAGATGAAGAAAAGGATAGAAAAGGAGAAAGGACAAAACCATTGAAGGTTAATTAGGACAAAGGAGGACAAAATAGGATAAATGATTATACTTGTTTCCAAAAGATGTTTTCTTTCTCCCAGGCGACAGGACCCAGCCAAGCTGCCGGTCCAAAAGCCGCCTCGGGTGCCTCCTCATTCTCACCCTCGACACCTCAGGCAGGCTTCGCGGCGCGCTATGTAGGAGGACGATGGAACATGTCAAAGATCCCTATTACTGTGCTTTGTGCTGGTAGGGAGTAATGGAAACTGTATTTATGTATGCTTTGTGCTGGTAGGCAACAAACTCCTCATTTATGTATTTAGGTATTGGAGTTTTCCCACATTTCTCCTCCACCGTCTGTCACTCTCCGCATCCGATCATCCTTCCGCCAGTCTGGCCAGTCTGCTGCTCCAACACCGCCGGCTTCATCACCGATGACAGCCCCTGGGCCACACCCGATCTTGTCAATGCTTTGAGGACCGATCTGGTGTATTCTTCTGTTCTGCAGGCCTTGTACGCTGAAGTCTAAGTCTAAGAAGGAAGGAACAGTGAAAGGTCGTTCGTTTCCAGTTCGATTGCTTCAAATTCCTCATACTTCCTCCATGCAGGAATGCTGAGTCAGGGTTGACACCAAAATCACCCTGACCTTCTGCTGAGGCACCCGTGTCAAGTGGTATCACGAGAGGCTCAAGCTTGGGAGTTTTTGTCGCAGCATGTTTGACCTCTTTCTTAATAAAGCTATATAGCTTTTTGTGGGATCTGTGCAGCTATTCCAGACCAATGAACGAGGAAAGCATCACACACTCCAGTCACTCCAAACCAGTGTTTTTTTTTCCTGGCGTGCGACATGGAAAGCAGTTCCACAATACAGTGACATGTCGTGAAGTTTTTCGATTGGGGCATTCAAATGTTCTGTGTTTATTTTTGAATATAATTGGGATCATCGTATCGAGTGGGCATCTATTCATGCCTAAACAAGCACTTACAGCCGGTTGAAGGCCGCCAGTCAGACTAGCCTGTCTTCAGTCTATGCAGTATCTAATTATTGACAAAAAGAAAGATGAACAAAGGAACAAACAAAGAAGAACACCTTTTTCTTTCTCATGACAACCAGCTTCCGTTGTTCAGCTGCCAACCTCGCGACGCTCGCCACCAGCACCACTCTAGGCATCCAAGCAAAGGCTGAAGCACCTGCACCCAAGGCGTGGCCGGCCCACTCATTAGGGCCCAGGAGAGAAGCTTGCTTGAGAAAACGGAGAAGTCACTTGAGCCGTTTCAAAGGCTTGTGTTCCACCCTGACAGAAGAAGAGTATGGAATACTCCACCCAAGATGATATGCACATTGCTGACAAGCAGTCCTAGCACTACTGAAAGAAGAACAAACTGAATGATTCTTCATAGTTGTGACATTCTTAGCTTGGGATACATTGGGATGGTTGGGGCACCTTTGCACGATGTGCCGTGTCCTTTGGAGGCAAAGGCCAAGGCTAATATGGTGCCACCTGGTCGCCATGTGACCGCCTCGGCCAAATCCATGGGTGGTCCTCCGAGCACTGCAGCTGCAACGGGACCTGCACCACGACAGGTTGGGAAGTGGGTGATCTCGGTCGAGAAGATGAGCTGAATGATTTCATTCTTGCACGCTGCATGAGGGAGTAGACTGAGATGGAAAGTTTATGTTTGATTTTGACATTGATATTGGGACCTAGCGGCATAGCTGCATGCATTGCAGGTTCTGAACATCGTCTCTGGCAAACCTCAGCCTGGCGGTGTTGTTGGGAGCACGGCCAGTGCAGTGGGTCCAGCCCGTGGCTATGCTCAGGCCATCATGGTCCACTGAAACAAAGGGGTGCGTGCATGGATGTCCTGCTGCAGTCGTGCAAAGAGTAGTGGAACTGGCGCCATTCACACATGCCAGTTCCACTACTTGCAGTGTCATGAAGCCCTAAAGTGAAGCATAGCATTGCTACCCAATGTAAACTTTTTGTTGGCGAACTCGTGCTTTGAGGATCAAGTTGATGGACATAGTTTTCAAGCTCAAAAAAGATTGGACAGATCAGATCCCATCACCAAAATCACGGCAAAGGTCCAAAATGATCCTGACCAATTGGCCACGCAAGACGACCGAACCGCCCAGGCTGCTGCCAATGTGCTGCCGGGTGAGGCTCCCAAGCTTGGCCCAGCCGCAGCAGCTGTGGGGCGTGCCATGGCCGAGGCGGAGGGTTCGCCACGGATGACAGGAGTCGCCATGTATTTGTTTGTTCTGTCCTTTCCATTCTTCCGATATATAGTTCCCCTCTTCGGACTCATCCATTTGGCCATCCATTCCCAGAGCCTTCCAGAAGGGGAAGAATGATGAAGAATGGGCAGTCCTCGGTCGAAAGCGGTCAATCCTCGGTATCGAAGCGGTCTTGTTTCTAGGTTCAATGAGTCTCATGAGTTTGATGATGTCCCATGGCACTCATGATGCGGCGAATGCTGTGCAGGGACGATCCCCGGCGGTCTCAAATGCGGGGGGCAAGCTTCGTGCTCCCATCAGCAAGAAGTATCAGAGTCTTGGCTCAGAGCACTGCCGCTGGAATCTTAGAAGATAATAGCAGACCGCTGCGACTTGATATGAGCCATCCAAAAAACTACTGGCAAGGTAGGCATGCAATTTGACCGATGTATCACCAAATACAAGTAAAAAAGATAAACATTCTGCTTCTCCACCACCTGAGACTTCTGAGGATCGTGTTTGTCACCAGTGAGGTGGCTCCATTCTCAAAGACCGGAGGACCTCTCCACAACTGGCAACATAGACGGAGTTATAAGTAAGCGCTGCTGCTTTGCAAAACCGGGTTGTGCCGTGCCAAAGGAGTTATAACAAGTTCAATCTTTTAAATGATTCAACTAAAGAAACTAATTGAACTAAATGTTCAGCCTTAAATGATCAAGTCTCTAACTTGTTCATTAACTTTATGCAGGCTAAAGAACTCAACTTTATCCCAGATGTCGGTGCTATTCACAGGACTTGGAGAGGCAATGGACGGTCTACCAATCGCATTGGCAGCTTTGGGCCATCGAGTCATGGTGGTTTCCCCTCGCTCGAGGGCCCAGAGGGCTGCCCAGAGGGCTGGTCTGGTATGGTCTGGTGGGGCTGTGCCTTGGTCAATGGTCAATCCACTTTTTACACCCATAAGCCCACAGATAGACCATAAGTGGGAAATTCACATCAACTTTATATAGTATAGTTATATACTATACTGATGTTATCTCCGGTCGGCTCCAAGCTCCAGCAGCACAACAGCTCCAGTCGATTCCGGAGCGTTTGCCTCTGAGGTTATGACCAATATGCAGAAGGGTGGGATACCAGCTATTGGAGCTCAGTACCCATGGGCGGCAAGCAGGCGCTGGGCTGGCTGAGCCACCTTGGTTGGGTACAGCAGCCAGGGTGTACTACCTCCATGGTGCTCTGATGTTTATTTGGGCACTTAGGGAACACTACCGGAGCTCAGGCCCGCTGAGTAAAATGAATCAACTACAAACGTATAGCGTTTCCGAAGTCGCACGTCGACCAACAAAAACTCATGTTTGGCCAAGTCGACCTTAGCCTGAGCGAAATCGCATCCGAGTGGAGTCTCCTTTGCAGGAGTCCGTCCACTTCTTCCACGCTCACAAGCAGAAGGCGGGTTGTCAACGGCCCATTCGCGAAGTGTCCGAGGTTCAGCTTGAAATGAATTGAAAGATAAAGGCCAGCCTTCAGCCTTCTTTGAGAA